ATATGAAAATCAAAAGTTTATCTTTCTATCTCCAAGACAGATTAACATTTTCATTTTTCGACATAAAGAGAAAGATTGAAGATGCTGTCTGGGTTTATGTCTATGCTTGACAATGTAAATCGCATTAAGGATCATTTCAGCATTATTGGCTGGACAGAATGTAATATKTCAATAAATTTCTAATGAAAGGCGAATATGGAGAGGTTGTTTTTACTAAATAAATATTCTACATCACACTAAAGCTCAATTATAAATATAAAGTCTGCGTAACAACAGCAACAGTTTCCGTTAAATATTAAAACAAGCAAGTGTATTCAACATTTGTTCCTGATGTGTAATAAATCACATACATAAGTAGTAGGCACTGCATGATTCGAGCCCCGTCCAGTAGGAGGTAGGTGGTAGGTGGGTATGCTAATAAAGTCAAAAGTGATAGSGGAGGGGTGGTCAAAACGAGTAGGTGGTATAAATTATCATAAAATTGTGGGCAACTTTTGTGTTGGTAAATTGTGGGTGACTTTTGTGTTGGTAAATTGTGGGCATCTTTTGTGTTGGTAAATTGTGGGCGACTTTTGTGTTGGTAAATTGTGGGCGACTTTTGCGTTGGTAAACTGKGGGCGATCTAATTATGCGTTGGTAAGTCGAGGAGGATAATTATCATAAATTGTRGGACTTCATACACCATGAAATTACTATTGTTCCTGAACAAAGAGGTGCCTGGACCTGTCTGAATTAAACAAAAAATAAGTTATTCAAAGTCTTGTKGTTTCTTGAGCGTGAAAGCGCTTGCCTCACCATTTATCGACTAGCTTTCATACAGTCAACATCGATTTGTGTTTAAGCAACATTTGTGAAAGTCATGGCGGAATTTTGCTTTGAAACACAATCTAATGATAAACCTGACCTTTTGGTAAGTATCTGGTAATTCATTTTGAGTTCAGGATATCACACAATATTAGTCATTCACGCTTTTCATTTACGACTTTTGGCTGAATATAGTTTGGTGATTTCACCGAAGATGACTGGATTGCCATCGATTTAGCTTGTGAAGAAAGTTACCGCAAGTTTCAACAAGAAAATTCTAATCGAACAAACAAGGTGAGTAAAATTTTACTACGGTAAATAGTTACCATTCAGCAAAGCAAATTACATATTACTTTTAGCAGATTTCAATCAATACAATTCAAACAAATATCCTTCAAGTTTGATAGTTTTCTCTTGATTGTTCATGTTAACAATATGATTTTAGCGTTTGCGGGATGAAGATAGCAATCATGGCTCAATTCTGGATGATTCTTGGTCCGGTTGGGAACACGAATTGGTAAGTGAGTTTGTATTTTTTTACTGCATTTCACACTGAAATTGTTCTTTTGATATTGAACTTTTTGTTTTGTTTTGTTTTGTTTTATTTTTTTTACATGATTCTTGATCTTTTTTTTAATCTAAGGTAGCAGCTTGTGAAGCGGGTAAACCCATTTTACAGTCCGACAATATTCAGATAATTATAAAATCAATTAAATATTAATATTTCAGTTGCTATTTGTTATAGATTTATTTTAGTAGAGAAAGAGGACCAGAACGGTAGTGGCCTTTCACCGACGGTAAATATTCATTAGTTTTTTTTTTCTTGATTTTTTGAAGATAACTTTGTAATAAAACAATTGTGCTATATGCAGAAGTAGGCCTCTATT